TTAGGCGTAAATTTGGCCTCATATGTGCGCTGCTGAACCAGTGCGTTTACATCCTTTTTGTGTTGCTTCTGATGATCATGATGAAGAAACAAGTGGACTCCAAAAATCAAGTGAGTTAATTTATTCCCAAATGTTACAGAGATCCTAAAATTTAGAAAAATCTTTTTCTTGTTCTGCAGAATCACACATAGAGTGTAGGTAGAGTATTTTAGAAACCTGTCTGTTAAGGCATGTTAAAGATTCAGTGCATAAATCTTAATACATTAAGGAGCTTAAGAAAACCGAGACGAAGGCAGTAAAAACGTATAACTAAAAAATATATCTGCTTTCTTAAAAACCTTATGCCCTTTATTTAGCGCCGTTCAATTTGTAAAATGTAGGATAATTTTTCTGGAGCTGAATTCTTAAGGACATTTTTTAAGGGCTAAAAAAAGGAAAATTCTAATCACTGTCGAGTATTCACGTAACTGACTACCCATTAGAAAGTTCTTACGTCGTAGTCGTACAGTGGACGTCGAAGCAACGTGCCAAATCGTGCAATGCACGTGTTTTGCTTCCGCTTTCTACCGTCTTGTTGCCGTCGTGGTGGTGATTGCTTAAGTTCTTGTTAAATTATGAACACTTCAAGTCCTGGGACCAACTGAACAATTTCATCCTACATATTAAAGAGCGAACTAAATTATCAATTCATAACGCACAGAAAAACCCTTTTCGTGACCTCAACGTGTCTCTTGGGCCGTGAAAGCTGAAAGCTGAAAAGAGATCATAATTCGTTGTGTTTCATTAACAGGGAAGTGAACCTCTGATAGCGATATGTTTTAGAGACAGTTGGATTCACGCCACAGTATCCGTCTTTCTTATAATTGCATGTGGTTATAATCTTGCCAAAGAGGTCTTTCAGATGTTTGACGAGGTATGCATTGTATTAAACTCTCTTTTTTCTAAGTATGAGAACATATTTTACAAGAATGTCGAGGCTGAATATTGCAAAATCTTAAGAATATTATAAGAATAAAACCAAGGCTAAAAGAGATATATTTTTCTGCGTTGAAAATCTTAGCCACCAAAGAAAAAGAACGCGCCATTGCCATTCAATGCAATTTATACCCCAAAACACTTTAAAGCGGAAAATCAGAGGCTGCTATTTAAAAAAGAATAAGAATAATCAGTCTAGGCCGGAAAAGAAAAGAGTGTGTAATTTAACAAACGAGAGTTTAATTTTTACATTAGGGTTCAAAGGGGGCAAACTTGGGACGGTTTACACAGGTTGGACTGTATTTACTGTTGGGAGCACCTCGTGTCCCGTCGCTATATAGGCCTTAATTGCAATCTCGATTTTTCTGTCAGGATGATTTTTAGCAACTATGCCCATTGGTCATCATAACTTAATTTCAAATCGTAACACTTTCAAGTTGTTGGGCCATTGTAATTGCTCTAAGTTCCGCACAATGTGGCGAGCGCAAATTAATTCAAATTATTTTTGTATAACTGTAAACTGGCCAATAAAGGCCCAAGTCAGAAAGAACTCACGATTTAAGGACCCCCTTGTGGTTCTTTATCCCCCCCCAAAATTAATTAACCCCAAAAAGGTTCTGTAATAAGCAAACTGTTAGACATGAGATGATGTTTTACTACGTACTCAGCATCTGTCTGCAGCTTTCTTCTGACATTCTGTGACCTCTAGTTGACCTACTAACTTATGCCGTTACGTTTTTCTCGCCCTTAGGGGTTGAAATATTTGTGTACGCTAAACAACTGGCTAGAAGTGACGTTATATGTCTTGACGCTAGTAACACTTGTCAGACCGAGGTCTGAGGATATTTCTGAAATGGGAATTTGCGTTTTTCTTGTATGGATTGTATTGCTTCAGTATATTAGCAAGTGAGTGTTGTTTAGTATTACTTTGATGTCTATCATCACTGAACGACGATGTTTCAATAGACCTTTTTACAGTTATGAGCTTAGTACTCTACCCTCTGAGTAAAAATGTGAGGCTGAGGTTGATCTCGTTTTGATACAAACCTCTTTTCTTTCATGCTAGTACTAGTTAGCATAAGAATAACGTTGATGAACATGATAAAACAGGAAGGGGTGTACCAAAACAAGGTCAACTCCAGCCTCGTTTGCACCGGTAACTGTCAAATGGACTATTAATTTGTTATCATCAGTACGGCGCAGCCTCGTTCCCAAGGTCCTCCATGCTCTCTTCCTCAGATCTCAGATGGGGCCCTGGGAACAAGGTTGCTGATTAAGAGGACATATACTGTATAATCACAAGAGCCATGATGGGACAGAGAGTGAATCTTAGGGTGTTGGCCGGGATATGTGAATTTCACTTAAGTTATTTTTAGAGGTTTCAGTTAATGGGAAGTCTGATTCCTGGGACGTCAGCACATTTAAATCTATTGTTTTAAACGTCATGAAGTCCACGGGCGACTGCCTCGAAGCAAACAATGCAGAATGGGGACTGTTAAATAATCAACGTGACCTTCTCGTGGGGAGTTTACAGGCGTCTAGATTTCGCTATCAATTTTTCAGATGAGCCTGATGAGCGCATTTCAGCACAAGAAGTTGAATAAGCGATGGCTCTTGGTAATCAGTAAGCCATTGCAAGGAACAAACCCGGTCGCATCAGACCCCCCTGAGCATCGTTTAATTTGGCACTTGAGGCAACAGGGGCACCCACCTACTGTTTTCTGTAAAATATCTGTTCAGAAAAGCAAATATTGCCTAAAATTTTCCATTACTTGAGGACGGCTTAAAATTTCTAGGCGACTGTTCCATTCATGCACAATTTTCGACACTTGTCTAATAAATTCCCTACAATTTTCTGAAGTTTAATTTTTCACATTTCATTCTCCAGCTTTGGCTATTTTTCTTAGTAAAAAGGAAACCTAAACTTTCAAAAAATACGATGAAGAGAGGAATGAGAAAAATTCTCACTTTCGTAAAACGTTAAATTGCTTCTAACATTTTCGGGAAAGTAATACTGAAGCCCTAATAATTTCCAAAAGACTTAATATAAGTTGCCCTGGGATGACCGAACAGATACAAATTTTATAGTGCCTCTGAGAATGCATTTCTAGAGATCTAAAAGTACTCTGGATCGCCTAAAAAGTGTTTTCAACTTGTAATTAAGAGGAAACCGTCGTTGGGTGCCCCTGGGGCAATAGTCAAGAAAATGAACTTGATCTTTAGTTATTGTCAACGAGGAATAACTCGTCCTTTGGTGGTTATGTTGTCAGATGACGTTAATACCGTTTTTGTCACCTGTTTCAGATTTAATTATGTTGGTTTATACATTGTTATGATAACAAAAACCATTAAAACGGTGTCCAAGGTAAGCTTCCATCTTTGTTAAATTTAAGTCTCTTTCTGTAAGGTACTGTGTAATAACTTACTAAGGTGTTCAACCCACAGATTCAAAAGTTATTATAGGACTATCATTACTTCATACAAAATTTACTTTTTAAAGTGAAGGGCTTGTACCCTTATCATTAATGCCGATTTCCTGGCTAAGGTAAGCTAGCAACGTGCCTTTTTCGTGCTGGTATTATATGCCCTTTGTAGAGCAGGTTTGAACTGCAACATGAACAGGCCACAAAAGTTTTCTTTTTTATTCTCTTAGGTTATGGTTATTCTTCTTATTCTTCTGGCAGCGTTTGCTTTCTCACTTTACGTTGTTGTTCCTAAACCGGTAGAGGTAAGTGAAGCTGCTTGGCTTTATGCAGATCAAAAGGGAAATTTTTAGCGCCAAACTCTTGTTAAAAGCAAAGCCAACAAACAAGCTTTGTCCACACCTGAGGAGCATCCGATTTGATTAATTTTTGCTAAATCTTCGCCTTTGTAATTCCCAGCAGTTCCTGTAAATAACGTAACCAAACAATCTATTGTTTGGGTCTCATTTGCTTCATCCCTTCAGGGGCAAATTTTATACATAAATGTACTTGAAGACATAAATACTTTAACCAGCGAATAAAAGAAAAAATGCCGGACTTTTTGGGACACTTCTCCTTACAAAAAAATTTTTTCGTTCTCTTATTTGTAGCCTGAGAAAACAGCCGATATTTCGCGACGCCACCACTCGTTTCCCTGCGAAATGACGTCTGAGCAACGAGCGCAGAAATTCCATACTGATGACGTTTACCGCCCAGATCTGGGTAGTGGTTCTGACTGGTCGTGCCGCGAGAGAAATTTGCGTCAACCAATCAGAAGCACTACCAAGATCTGGTTAGTGATCGTCATCAGTATGGAATCTCTGCAGTCGTTGCTCAGACCTCTCTTTGTGGGAAAACCAGTGCTTTCGTCGCAAAATATCGGCTATTTCTTCAGGCTATCTTATTCGTAATTTGTTTCTATTACATTTTCAGCCCCCAAATTCGACCACGGACAACACTGGAAATCTTCGTTTTAAAAACATTCCTTCCTCATTTGCTGCTACATTTTTCATGATGCTTGATAACTTGCAGTATGACAATATTCTGTTGAACTACAGTGGTTCCGTGGGGAATGGATTAGTTTTATACATTCTCTATTTTGCTTATTGTTTTATGATGCCCATAATATTTCTCAACTTACTGGTGAGTAGAACTTGCATTTGTTGTTGTATTAAATTGACGTAAAGTTGTTCGAAAGAAAGGCTTAATTTCAATTTTTTTTCTGGAGAGCTAAGGAAGATTTTAGCAGTCAAAATACTGACATAAAATCGCTTAAATCCCGCTTGCTGCCATTTTGAATAATTATGACTTTTTCGGTTGCTAAGACGACGAGAATCACATGAGTCGCCGCCCCGTCTCCCCAAATGAGGCGCCTAGAAGGAGCGGCTGCACACAAGCTAGTCTGGCCAGTGTCTGATCATTATTAACCGAGTTTTTAATGTTTGCTAATTTCAGATCGGTTTGGCTGTAGGAGACATCGATACCATTCGAAAGACTGCTGCATTGGAAAGATACACAAGCCAGGTAGGCATATTATTCATGATATTTTAATGCGTTGTGCGTGCAGTTGCTGTGTGGCGTGACGCCCTTATCGGCCTTTTAATGCCCAAGCGACTAAAGGAAACTATAGATTGCGAGTAGTATCTTATTTTTGTTTGAGTCACAGTAGATTGAGAGCACGCTTTGGGGGCGAGCAGCGAAGCCGCGAGGAACGAGGGGGGAAGCCCGAGCGAAGAAAAACTAACCTCTCCTCCCTTTTACCATTATTTTGCATAATTTTACTTTTTCACTCTCCTCGCGTGGCTCTGAGGGAAGACGGACGACCGCTCGTGGTCTAAACTACATGCTCTGTTGACGAGAGTAGACGTTGCATTACGTGAGTTGCGCGGTGCGCAGAAGAAACATGCAGGAGTGCAAGAGCAGAAACGATTTGGCAAACGTTCATAAATTTGAACCTAACGGGTCTCGAAATAAAACCAAGTTTGTGTTTTCATGATGTCAAGGGCTCTTGACAGAAAAAAGAGATGAGCCCAACGGAAATTGAAACATTGATCTTCCGAGAGCCACGACTTAACCACTGGCCTATAATGGGAAGACTACCTAACTAGTTCATTCCCTTAGGCATACAGTGGAACGTAACCCCGCTCCGCAGACATCCGTGTATATAACGAACACGAGTTTCGCGAAAACCTAACTAAAAGGGCGTATGGCTTTTCAAAGTTTCTGTCATTTAAACAAACTCGTGTGAACGGGCCCTTAGTCTTAGTATCTATGAAAAGCTTTAAAACAGAGCCCGATTAATACGGACACCCAGATAATACGGACAATTAACAATTAGTCAATATAGCCCATGAGCCCGAAGGCCGAATGGGCTATTGACTCAGAGGCCATGAGGGCGAGAGGAATAATTGTTTTAGTAAAATCCTACTAGTTGGTCAAAAATATCGAGACAAAACAACTTTAGCTAGTTACAGTTAGACTTAAATCATTTTTTCCGTCAAAAGGCCGGCGCTTTTCGCTACTAGTGGGTTATAACAAATAGCCCAGTAGCAGCTCAACCAATCAGATCCAGCACTGCTAATAGATCACTAGTTGGATTTTACAAATATAGCATATCCCCTTGATGTCCGAATAAGCCGGGTTACACTGTAGTTGTGATAGGTAACTTTTTCTTCTGAGTGGGGGCGATAAGCCTGATCCCGGCGAGGCTCTGAATTTTTACACGCTTGTGACGCGCTAACGTTTTTATCGCCGGTTGTTTACTCACCAGGTGGAGCATCTATCTCAGCTTGAACGTGCCATTCCAAGCTTCATTCTCAGTAGTGTTCAAGTGACAGAGTATGTAGAGTATCCCAACAGACCAAAGAACTTCAAAACTAAGGTTTGTCAACAGTAAAAACTGCGTTTCCAGTTACTGTATCTCGGAATGAGAATATACTCACAAATTTGTGACAAATCCATTTGACCACAAACTTCTCGACCGTTGCAAAGTTACATTTTTCTTAATCGCTAATTCCCTTCAGGCTAGGTTTTTACATTTTACCATGCAAAAAGAGTGAATTTAGAATTTATTCCATCTATTCTCAATTATTCCAGAATACAGTCAAACTCTCCACGTAATGGATTGAACTGTTTAGATTCTTCTCCGAATCTGGATTCGCTGGATTATTGTTCGTTATGTACATTTCGACAATCTAAGTTAATCGTCAAAATTGTTGGGAAGGCTATTACTTTTTACCTCTTTTTCCCTTCATTTCCCCCGTCCCTGGCCCATTGTTAAACAAAACTAAAGTGTTCGTGCGGGTAACTATTCAGCTGTTGTCCAAAAATAATTTTAGGAATGAGGGTATTTAGGAAAAAGGAAAACCATTTTATTTAACATGATTAAACTGAATTGGTGTTCAGTTGGACAACCTTAGTAGCATAGAATTAACTTTACTTTAATACATTAACGTCGATGACAACATAACCTTTTTTCCTTATCTTATGAATAAATTGCTGGCAAATCTCATTAAGATCAGGTCATGTGCTATTTATAAGTGCTTTAACCGGTTTGACAGGTTTTTTGATGGATTACTTCACAGCCTTTTGTCCTTAGCTCATGTAAAAAATATGCCATCTCCGAGTTCCTAAAACTGTCACTTTCAAAACGAGGCCAAGTGCAAAACCTTTTTTTTTAAATGAGTTTTATTTGCATGAGAATGAAAAATGATTTTCATATCAATGGCTTCGCACTTAGCCTCGCTTTGAAACAGAGGTTTGTGAGAACTCGAAAACCGCCTATGTCTGTGGATTCTCATTGTGTATTTAAAATCCAAGCCGTCAGAGATGGGGACTTCCCAATGATCACTTGTGGCGGAGCGAGAGAGCTTGCTTACCGGTTATTACCCAGCATGATAGATGATGCATCATTGTCCTGACCTTACATGATTTATACAATGCAATACAAACTCTAATGACACCCCATAAAGAGGGCTTGACAATAATGATAAATTTGTATAGGTAATAGCATGATTTGTAGTGATATTGGGTATAAATAACACGAGTGATAGTTCGAAATTGTTAAACGTAAATTTGAGAGAATTTTGAAATTTCACGAGTGGTATTTATGCCAAATATCACCTAAAAATCATGCTATTATCTGTTTATACCACTACCCTCAAAAGGCTTGTAATTTTCTCATGTAGGTATTTCAAATTAAGCTGAAATACCACTACTCTAAGCCAATCACATTGTAGAAATTTCTCATGTAGTAGGATAAGCAAGATAATACGTCAAAACGATAATTAGGCTCGATTTACGATAGTAAATAATAATAGACACTTATATAGCGCGGTATCCACTAATTTTCAGTAATTTTTAGTAAATTTTGTAACGCCACGAAAAGCGATCCGGTAATAGAGATTTGGGAAGTATTCTAGAAGTTTTAAATAATCAGTTTTCATAATAGGGCTATTAGATTTAGGATGGCTAGAGAAGTAAAAAAAAAATAATAATAATTTACTTTACTTATCGCCAAAGAAATGAGTAGTCATTATTACCAAACTGTTCATAGGTTGTTGATATTCTGGTAAAACTCCTGTCGCCACGTCAAGAGAATGATGAAAAGCAAGAAATGGCAGCGGATCTTAGAGAGACTATTGAGAGACATGATGAACAGTGAGTACTTATTTGTTATAGGACAGCTCATAGACTTACCGTATTTACTCGATTAAGCGCCTTCCCCGATTAAGCGCCGCCCTCGAAAAAGCGTTGCATTTGCGTGAAAAAGGGTGATGAGCGCCGACCCCGAATAAGCGCCGCGACCCTGGTATAAACAAAGTCAAAAGACGTTAATTATGTTAGCTTAAAACGGAAAATACAGGCTCCTCAGAAAATAGTCATGCCGTAGATAATACAATTTTTTGTCGCTTTCAACTCCCTCGAATAAGCAACGCCCTTGAGGCTTGAAAAATTTAAAAAGCGATTCGAGTAAATACGGTTTTTGATGAGTATAAGATTCTGTGAAACGGCAGACACCTGCCAATCGCTTATTCCAACGCAATGTCAAACTCAAACTAATTCTTTTGTGTATAAAAGTATTTGTTATGTAGTTGGATATTTCGTCCCAACAGCGCGCTCTCATTGGTTACTTCGAGGTCACATGACATTTAACAATGAAACTGTTTTCTGCCAAAATCTCTTAACTGGCAACATTGCAAACTCTATGACGTCAGTGGGTAACAGTGCACTGTTACCCGCGAATCTGCCGTTACAGAGAGGTAAATTTCCCGCTTCGCAGCTTTCCTCAGGAAACACTGAGATTCTCTCGGGAAACAAAATGAACTGTTTCCCTCGGGACCAGTCATTAAGTGTTCAATGTTTCATTCCCCGACATGGAGACATCAGCACCGCATTTTTGTTTTAAAGTAACCCATAGAAACTTTCCAATGAAATATTGAGTAAAAGTATGTGATTGTTTTTTTTACATTTTAGGTTGAGAGAGATAACGTCTTCTCTTAGGAAACAGAACGCTATTCTCGAAGAACTTCGAGATATCTGCATTGATAAAAAACGAAGACCTGCCAACGATGAACCAGCTGAAATACCAAACACCACTGAGTTCTACGTCTAGAGCATGAACAGAGTGTGCATCACCGCTGACCTACACGTCACATATGAGCGAGGCCCCGTTCGTTCTCACAGACTCCCAACGCCATTATATTTTGACGTTATTGGGGGCTAATTAGCTACAGCTGACGATGTAGCAAATCGCATTAGCTTAGCGTCATCCTCCGTGAGTTACTTGCTACTTAAAACTTGCGGACACAGACGCCTAATTTTCTTAAAAGCGAGGCGTCGTGTACAAAAATATGAGCTTTATCATCCTCAGACTCAGGGGCGGGCAGTTGGGGGCAAGAAAAACGGCGGCAAAAGTTTTCAAGAACAGCGCCTGTTCTTAAAAATCTTTCGCTGCCAGTTTTAGTCCCGACCCGATTGACTGTTCTTTGAGTCTCCGAGTATGGAGTTTCATTTGCTTGAGAATGAAACCTATTTTTGGCAAAGAAGACGGGATGAACTCCAGGCGCAACAACAGGATTCTCTTTGCAAAAATTATGTGAAAGGTAATTCAGAAATGACTTTAAACTACTAATATGCTCACCCACGAGACAATCCTTAGCGACGGCTAGTGTTTGGCTATGGTAGCCTCACGACGTTTAAGGATCATAACGATATAAATATCAAGACTCAAATTTTGATACCTTCTCAAGGTTATAATATCCGAAAACATGAAAAGAGAACCAATAAACTCGACCCTTATATTAATTAGTTATTTTTGTCGGGAAAATTTTGAACAAAAACACTGAAATCCTGGGCGTGATAATATGCCTCTACAAGAGAACTATAATTTAAGTTAAAAACAGCAGCATGCATACACGCGGGTCACACGGACCACTGGTCTCCAGCGGCCAACTTAAGTCTAAGCGAATCATAAATGAATATTAATATGTATTAAAAATCCCGCAAAAGGCGGGGTAATAATATAAAACAATCTTAGAGTATACGTAATAGCAAATATAATCCGTCCACAGCAGTTATTTAGGGTCTTTCATGGTGTTGCCTAAACTGTTTGGTTAGGTTTGGTGTATTAGCGTCCTTCACAGCTGCTTAATAAGGAGGGATTTCTAATTTTGCATAAAATGTACGTGCGCAATACAAACAGAAGCAGTGAATATGTGAAAGGCTACGCGAAAACGAAAATTTTGAGCTCCACTTTACTTTTACGTTTACAGGCGACACTTCATACATTACCTCTATAATTGAACGGGATCATGCGTATTTAAGGCATTTGTCGACCGACAGTCGGTCGACGTATCGGTCGACAGTCGGTCGATAGTGTCGAACGAAAGCCGGTCGCTATATCGACCGCTACTCGAACGATATGTCGGTGCCGAGCATCGGCTCAAATTGGCCTCTGTCGACCGACATAAGAATAACGCGATAGTGGAAATGCACTTTTAGAGTCAAACGACTGCGACGCAGGCCATTTTATAACGGAGGAGTAGCGTTACATGACGACACTAAAAATGGCTGCGAGAGAGACTGGGTTTTACGGTTGTATTGTGGGTATCGCTCAGGGTTTGTTTTTTAATATTTAGTATTACGTCATTTGCTAATCGCATCAACCCTCGCGCAAAACCAAAAAAGACCTCTTGGTAGACGTACTCCGCGAGGAGAACAGTCCTCACACAACTAGCATTCTGTTATTGTAATTTTTAACCTTGTCTATAATTTATGTAGAGCTTCCCTTACGTTTTGCAAAATAAAACTTAAAATATACTCTATACGTCGGTAAACAACAGAGGTCAACTAACACCTTCCCCCACGAGGGGAACTCGCACATGAAAATGAAGTGGATTCTCGTTCTATCCTAAGGTTGAAATTGTCGGGGCAGTAGCATGAGTATCAGGCCTTCCTTAGGGTAGCCTTCAAAGCAGTGTATTTTACATCGCGATCGCTGATATTTTTTCGGGTATAATGCTACCACCCCATATTGGACGTGTAAACCACCAGAGTGTTGGGGCGAGTCGGGGGGAGGAGGGGAGGGAGGCCCATATTGATTTCCTTTTATAGGAGTTTAATTTTAATTTTCCAATGCCTGATACCCGTCAGTTTCAAACGGAAGTCCCCTGAGGAACTAAGAACTACCGGTAGGTATATTTAGGTGGCGTCAGGTTGTATGGGCTAATCTCCCAATTAATCTTCAGTTGCTTCATGCGACAACATCCTATACATCGTATATTTTCGTTCTAAAAATATACTTTCAATGATCGGGAAAACAATAGCTTCGATAATTCATGATCTCTAGAACTGATTACAAAATAATGTCTTTGTGTCATGCAAAGCTAGAAAGAAAAAGATGAGTTGATCCAAAATCTAGCTATTGCGGCACTGAGAGCAGCGCATCGAGTCAAACGCTCAGCTGCCCTTACTATAGTCCCTCTGATTTTATCTCTTCCATCCGTTGGTCACTTTCTTTGCAGCGCGTTGGTGGCAATGTTCACATGCGCTCGCGTGTTTCACTCCTTCCTGACTATCTCTGAGGGAAATAAGGGACTACTAGGTCTTTCCCTGAGTCAATTTTTGCCATTCTCTATTTTCCAATTCCCCATAATACACTCTGTTTGCCCCCCAAATTTTGCATAAACCATTGTTTTTAAATGCTCCTGGGAGTATTGCATTTTCCCAAGAGCATTTTAAGACAATAAGTTATGCAAAATTTTTGGGGGCAGACAGAGTGTATTATGGGGAATTGGAAAATAGTCAATTAGTTTACAGCAGTCCAAGATTTTACGCGGAACTGCCTCGTTCCCACAAGTCTTTGCTTTTTCTTAGGCGTCGCTCGTGCTGCGTGGTGACTTGTGAAAGATATTTGCACCCGAATCAAAACGGCATGCACCCGGGAAGGGAGGGGGTGGGGGTTACTTGGGTTAATTTTTGCTGGGTATGTGCTGCTGGCCTCTCAGAGCCCCTACCCCATTATAGTCTATTTTGTGGCCAATTATAGACCCCATCTTAGTCACTTTTGGGCGAATGTGTAATTTTCGCGACCCCAACTTAGTCACTTTCCTTTTTTATGTATCTACCTTATCAATCCTGTAAATAGGTCATCCTAAAACGAATTGACCCATTTTTGAAATTGAATGAAGAACACTTTACTTTTCACCTACAGTACAAACATTCTGGTACGTTTGCTAATCGTAAATATGAAGAACTGTCTTAACCCAAAAATTAGAAAATGTGCTACTCCATTCTAGTAACTCTATTGAAAATGCGACCCCATTATAGTCAATCCAATCGTAAAAATGCCACCCCATCCAGCGACACATCCCAATTAGCCTCTAACGGTACCCCCCGGGACCATGTGTTCACTGTTTCATACCTACAATCTTGGACAAAATAGATGTGAAATTTGTACCCCACCTCTCCCCCAAATCAAGGATGGGAAAATGGAACGTTTTGGCTTTTGCGCTGCTTCATATTTGATTTGGTAGGGATGGGTGTTTGCTGTTCCATTTTATTCTGGCCAAGATTGTAGCGATAGAGGCGCCTTCCGGGCATGTGGCTCCGTTATTCACCTATTTCACATCCTGATTTTTCCTTTGTTACTTTCATTTCTGCCAAAATTGAAATTATTAACAACACTTTCAACAAAGAGGAATCTCTGGTCTAGATAAGAGTGGGAAAATAATTTCAGTATGGCGATGAATGTCAGAATGGGAGAGGATAGGACTAGATTTCACTGGACTTCATGCAGAGGGCAGACTCGCTCGCCTGCGAGCAATCTCTTAGCTTAGGGAGCGGAAAACAGGTCTCAACCTTTCTCCACCACCCCGCCCCTTACAGCTTGCTAAGCGCGGACTCACCTTCTTTTACATTTCATTATCAAGATAGACTACGACTAGTCCTTCGAGTTCCACAGGGATAGTAGAGCGAGCGAAATAAAAAATCGCCACAAGCGTAGCTTAGGGAGCGGAAAACAGGTCCCAACCTTTCTCCACCACCCCGCCTCTTACAGCTTGCTAAGTGCGGACTCACCTTCTTTTACATTTCATTATCAAGACTGACTACGACTAGTCCCTCGAGTTCCACAGGGATAGTAGAGCGAGCGAAATAAAAAATCGCCACAAGCGCGGAAGGCCGTACAGGCGTACACGCTTCTTCTCGCGCGGGGTAGTTTTCATGCGGGCTAGAGTATTTCGCTCGATCAACTGTCCCTGAGGAAAACAACGGACTATTCGTAGTCTTACATAAAGATGGGCACAGGTTTCAACACTCAAATCTACTAGCAATCTGCTAGCAAACGAAAAGAAAAGCCGTTTCCTGTGAGCGATAGCGGAAGCCGACAGCGCGCTCTTGAGCCCACGTATCTTAGAAATTGCTGACAGCGGATTATATACAAAATATGTTTAGGTACATAATAATAATCATATATGAAGTACCTACCCAAAATGTAATCCCATAATAATCAACCACGTTGTTCGGCGTTCTTTGACGGTGGCTGGTAGAGAGTGTACCTTTTCCTACTTTCTCCTTATGCGTGTACTGATTCTTTAGAGTCACAGCCTTTAACTGATATTCTGTGAAGAAGACGTATCGCCTTGGGATGCTAGGACGACTGACCAACTGAGGTAATTGCCTTTGATAGTTGTGCTTTCAGTATGCGCTTCCAGATGGAACGCGTGCTCTCCCGGAATCTTATCGAAGAGCTAATCCTGTTCAAGTTGTCACATTCAATTTGATATTGACAGGGTTGTTCGATTTCTTTTGACTAATTGAAATGTTATTTGATAGGTTTAGTATGATTGTTCTCACTCTGCTAAACAAAACTTGTCTTATCAAGCGCCCTATGAGTGTTTGGAGAAACTAAATAATTTAGCCACGCGATCGGCTTTATACATGCACAGTTTACATTAAATTCTTGAACTTTAGTTTGCTAGTAATCTGGGTGGTACATATATATGCAAAAAAAGGTGAGCAAAGACTCTATATGTGAACGATTTGGGTCTTGTATCACGAAGCATCGTCTTTCTGAAAACTGAAAAACGTCACATTTCATTTGATTTCATCTCGGTCTCAGGGGGTACGTCAGTACTTTGATTGTTACATCCTAGTAGCAATGAAAGGTAGGATTCCTATCCGATCCTATACCTCTATTATGCATTCAGCAATCTTATACTATTTCACACAAAAAGTTTATAGGAATAGAGTCCAAGACTATGCTCAAGAAAATATGAGGGTTTTCATAGAAACCACATGCTGAGCACTGTGGATTTGTTTATTCACAGGTTCTGAGCAATAGCCTTGAAAGAGTCCATGGCTTTGTTGTAGCAGAGCCTGGTGGCCCCTGGCACCCAACTTTTGCCCTCAGGCAACTAGAAAATCTCAGATTTTTCATACAAATCATATGCTGGGCACCCTAGTTTTTACAGGACAGCCTTGGGAGTGAATACATGCATGCATAATATAAAAATTTATGGGATTGGGTAGAAATCTTATCCACATGGGCCAATTGTTCAAATTGTTTGTCACCAC